GGCTTAGGGCAGGTTTACATATGACATATCACCGAAGCGTCTTATGTGTGAGAAGGTCAGACTTGTGTTTCAGAATGGTGCACCGTTTCACGCTCCTCGTCAGCGTCTGAGCGTTCTGGTTGCCCCGAGTTCCGACCACGTTTGACGTCACGAGTCTTCGGGTTTCAGCCGCCCCACCGCGTGCCGGGGGCTCCGGGGGGCCTCGCTGTGCGCTCTCTGCTGGCCGGCCGTGCTCAGTGCCTCCTCCTGCGCCGGTCGGTCGTTTGCTGTGTTCTTTTCAGAGTGCGCCTTAACTCTTCGGCCTGTGTAAGAAACGATCAGTTGTTTGTTTCTCTGTCCCAGAACGTTAGGGGTTCTTCCCGTGTTCTGGGTGTCCACACTTTTTCAGATGCCTGCTCTGCCAATGGTTTGTCTCAGTCTGTAGCTTACAGATACACTTCATTAATGATGTCTTTTAATGGTCAGAAATTTCTCATTTTGGTGAAATCTAGTTTATCATTTTTGAAAAATTTGATGGTTATTGTTTTCTTTTTTTCTGTATTAAAACTCTTCACCCAGGTTGCAGAGGTATTCTTTCTTTTCTTCCAGCTGCGGGAGGGGTGTAGCTCTTACCTTCAGGTCTGGGGTCCGCCCTGATCCGTTTTTGTGTGACGCATGAGATAAGGGTTGAGGTCCGTTCCCTTTTCCCATGTGAACAGCAGATTGTTTTTTGCACCATTTGTGAAAAGACTTTCTTTCCTCATTGAATTATTTCGACTTCATAATCTACCCTGAAATGCCGATATTCATGATCGGTTCCGTGAATCTTCACAAAGCTGTATAAAGCACTTCCTGTTTGCATCCTTGTTGGACTCAGCCTGGCACTCAGCCAGGGTCGCAGGGCTAGCGAGTGGCCGGGCGGGGTTTGGAGCGAGGGCTGCGTGACCCCGGGGCCGTGCTGGTCCGTGCCTGTCCCTGGAAGCCCAGTCGGTGAGCCTCGGGTGGCGTCGCCCTGCCTTTGGGGGGTGGCCTCACTGCCAGGTTGGGGTTAGGGTTTGTTCTGAATGGTGTCGGGGACACAGGAATCCAGTGGAGGGCATGTTAGCTCACAGTGACGGGACCAAGGTCACTCCCGACCTGGTAGTTGGGGGATGGGTGAGAGCCAGTGTGGGACTCGCCGAGGGAGAAATTCCCAAGCATTTTGGGCAGCCGTGAATGCTCTCCACTTACTTTGTCTGCTAATTCGTAGATTTTTCTCGGTTGGCGGTAACACAGAGCAGCACTCCGTGAAAATGTAATCCACAGGGTAGGCTCCCAGCTGGTATTTGAACGAATAGGCAATTGTTTCCCGTGTGTGTGTGTGTGTGTGTGTGTGTGTGTGTGTGGACCCATCATCGCACGGGCTGACGACGCAGACGAAGGTCTGAACCCTGTCTTGGCCACTTACCAGCAGTGTGAGCATGGGCAGGCCGCGGCCGCTGCTGGCTGCTCTCTGTGTGGTTTCTCGCCTGCGGGTGCAGAAAACCGCCACGCCCAGTCAACAGTGTTGTTTCACGTGTTCCTTTGAAGCCGCCTCTGAAGCCGCCTCACGTGAAGTGCTGACCACAGCGGTTGGCACACAACAAGCACTCCAAACATCGCCCGTGTTCTGCGCGCACACGCTTCCACACGGGCCTTCCGTGCGCGGACCGTTCTCCTGCAGGGCGAGCCCCACCCGCCGCGCTGGCCGACCCCGCGGCGGCCGCCCTGGCCCCGGGGGACCCTGCGGGCCTGGCAGCGGTTGGGGGGAGGGGGGCCTGGTGGCAGCGACACGGGAGCAGCAGCCCTCACTTCCTGCGGGGACGCCATGCTCGTTGGCTCAGACACCGCCACTCCGGTGCCGCGGGCCGCCGTGCTTCGGGGTCCGTTTTCGGCAGTGTCCCGAGGACCAGCCGCATGGAAAACGACGTCCGCTCTCTGCCCAGCACGTCCGGCCGCGCCAGCCAGAGGTCCCTTGCTTGCGCGCACGGCTGGGCAGGAACACGGAACAGGGCCCAGCCGCATCTGGCCCCTCCGGCGGTCATTAGCCCGCCTGCACCGAAGCCTCGCTCTGCAGGGCCCCTCCTGCCTCCCTCCAGCTCTGCCCGGGTGACGGTGGAACTCGCCTGGGAAGGACAGTGTCACTCGGCATGCACTGGGGCGGGAGGAGAGGACGCACCGCTCCTTCCAATGACTCAGCAGCCGCTGTCCTCGGGCCAAAAGCAAGGCCAGGCCACAGCGGCGGCGCCTGGGCCAACAGCGTCCTCCCGCGGGCCGATGCTCTGCTCCAGCCGGGCCTGCCACTCACAGCCTGTCACAGCGCCCTGCTGTGTCACGGAAGAGGCTGCTGGTGGAGCACTGGTCTGTCATTTGGCTGCGCCCGAGCGAGAGCACTGCGTGGCATTTCTAGGGTAGGGCTGTGGTTTTAGTTCACCCCGTGGAACCGGCAGCCGAGGGCCCAAGACCACGTGCTCCTCTCTGTTCTTCCTCCAGCGGCTCTGCCCCGTGCCTCACACCTCGCCTGCGCCCAGGTGCGTCTCCCTGAAGAAGTCACTCGCCCAGGGAAGGGGCTGCCTGCCGTGCTGCTCCGTGTGACGGCAGCTTCTCGGGGCGGCAGGGAGTGGGCGGGCCCTCGGAGCTCCGTGTGCTGCAGGCCCCCCGACCGACCGCAGGGCCTGGGAGACGGAACGTGTGTGCGACTGGGACGCGGTGATGGGCCGGCCCTTGGCGGCCGGGCTGCTCTGCAGCCGCTCTGCGCTGGCCGGAGGCGGGCAGGCCCCTGGTCTCCCCCGGGCTGCCGGGGAGCGTGGGCAGGGACGTCGACATGTTTGGAGCGTGTGCAGCGGTGTGCGTCTCACATGCGTGTCCACGTCCACCTGCTCTCCGAGCCCTCACTGCTCCCCCGTCCGTGTCCCAGCGGGGCCGTTTCTGGGCTCTGCGTCCGTCGCTACCACGGTCCCCGTTTTCCACCCCCACTGCTGTCAGCTTCGTCAAATAGGGAGAACCTTGGCCTCCTGAGCAGTCTCTCCGTCAGCGACAGGGTGTCCAGGTTCGGCCCCGTCACCTCCCCCACCTTGTCAGAGCACCCACTCGCTCTCCGCCCCTGGGGTGCAGGTGCGCTGCCGGCTGCAGGCCGGACGCCGGGAGGAGCAGAGCCGGGCCCCTCCCTCGGGGCTCTGGGGCGCGGCTGGGAGGCCCTGCGCGCAGCGGCAGACCCGCAGGGTCCCGTGTTCTCGTCCCGCACCGGCGCGTGGTAATATGCAAACATCTCGTCTTTGCAGGAGGCATGGGACACGGGTACGTGACACTCGTGGTGATACGTGTTCAGAACAGCGTGGAGCACCTGCCGCTCATCGGGGAGGTCGGCCTCTGCTGGAGGACCGGGGCCGCCGACGGCTGCGTCCAGGTAACTGCCGTTTCTCTCGTTACAGTGACCTGCTTTCCGCACGGTCAAGTGTGTCTGTTGGTGTGTGTGTACGATGCTGCCCTCAAAGTCCTGGACTCGCTGTTCCGGTGGCCCAAGGTCGTGCACGTCCTTTAGCCACTGCTGGCCAGGTGGCGCAGTCGTCGCTGCTTCCCCAGGGCCTTCCGTGCCCCTGAGAGTGGAGCACGGGGCGGGGGGGGGCCTGCCGCCACCGTGCCCGGTGCGGGTGACCGCCCCCACCAGCCCTTCCGTCTGTTCTGCAGAGATGGGGCGGAGCTGTAGGTTGGGCCAGGCGAGTAGCATTTCCTCAGATGCCTTAATTACTCACCCACCAGTTCAGCGTTTATTTCAGTTGTGGCTTCCGGGACACGGCTGTTTCCTGGAACAGTTAGATCAGTTTATGTCACCAGCACAACTCGGCCACGTGGATGGGAGGGTCCACTGAGTGTCTGGGGACTGGCAGGGAAGGGGGCGGAAAGGGGAGCAAGGGGAGAGGTGGGGGGGCCGGAGGATGGGTGCTCTAACCTAGTTTTGCGTCTTTTTATGGTTCTTGTGCCCATGGCTGCCCCGGATTTGCATTATCGTCCAGCTTTGTTCTGTGGGGCGAACCGGGTGTTCACCCTCTGTGGGACCGGTTTCTTCTGCGTGCCGAGGCCCCCCCCCCCCCCCCCGTGCAACAAGGCTTTGTTCGGCCGTTCTTGTGTGGGCGCCTTGCTGGAACGGTTAGTGGTGGGGCTGGAGACCAAGGGCAGCATTTCACCGCTGAGCATTAAAAGACATAATAATTATCGTCAAATGCAGCGGGCCCTTGGACAAGGCAGAGGTTAGGGGTGCTGACCGTATTTCTCCCCGGTCCCCCAGCCCGCCGTGCAGCTGGAAATCCACGTGTAACTTTTGACTCTCTAAAACCTTGCTACTAATAAATAGCCTGTGGAAACAGCCAGTCAACACGTGCCGTGTGCACCGTATGTGTGTTCCACTCGCCATTGCTGCAGTAACGTCAGCTGGAGAGGAGAGCGTGATGTGAAGAAGGCCGCACGGAAGAGAAGTGCGCTGACAGAGCGTGTGGGGGAACCTCGGTGGCGGTGGCAGCGGTGGGCGCCTGCGGTGCACCCCGCGGGCTCGGCCTCGGGTGAGCCTCTCTGGGCCCTGGCTGCTCGGGGTGAGGAAGTGTCTCAGGCTGGCTGTCACGTGCAAAGGAGTATTGAAGACCTGAGGCCGGACTTTAGACGGGTCTCATAAAAATAGGTACCAAAATAAAACGTCAAGGTCAAGACAGACTTGGGGGACCAGGAGAGGCGGATGTAAAGCAGACTTAGCCAGCGGCATGGTTGTAAAACCGGTCGTCCTGCCCTTTCTGGTCGCCCACGGCGGGATGAGCCGTTCCCGGGTTCAGCGGGAGAGTGGTCCTCACACAGAGCGCCAGCGTCGCCCAGCCCTGACCCTTCCGCACACGGCCTCCGGGGGGCGGGACGTGAGGAGACCCAGCTGCCTGCCGGCCTGCCCCAAACAGCGTGTCTGTGGCGAGGGCGGTGACAGACCCCTTGCAGCCGCTCGGCGGGTGTGGCTTTAGGATGAGCTCCTGGTGGTGGCTCTGCGGGTCCCTAACCCTGTGTGACGCACGCGTGCAGGTGTCTAGCCAGGCAGCTGGACCCGGACCCAGGAGTCCCTGTTCTTCCAGTCAGGGATGAGCCATGTGTCCTCGGGCGGCCGGACAGTCGTCCCTAGAAAGCCCTCCCCTCAGGGGGCTTCATTTGGGAGGGGGGGGGAGCTTGCTGCCTCTCCCTGGCGCCCGCAGGGACCTGGGGCCGGTTGGCTCCGCGGTGCCTATACTCCTGGGTTCCGTGTTGACACCAAAGTGTTCTCAGAGCTGCTGAAGAGCAGAAGTCGGAGGTTCGACACCGAGACTATGGAATGTCCCTTAAGAAATCAGTTTCGGGGAGTTAACAAGTTCTTATAAACAAGGGCATACGCGAGACAACGTTTCTTAGGCACGTACAGCTATTAAACCCCGACAAACAAAAACTCTTGCTTCTCCTGGAAGCTGGCAATGGAAGCGCCTCCTAACGCTGCCTTTACAACCAGTCCGGGTGCGTCATCCAGGCCTGTGGCCCTGGCCACGAGGACGGGAGACGAAACGGCGGTCTCGATGGCGCTGACGCTGGGAGGAGGGCCTGCCGGCTGCCCCGCGTGGTGGGACGTGGTCCTCGGTCCGCGGGTCCCTGTTCCCGGAGCATCTTCCGTCAGAGGAGCAGGGCGGTGGGGGGCCTCCGGCCCAAGCCCCGGCACGAGGCCACTCAGCCGGGACGTGGCTGGAGCCTGAGCGCCCATGACCCCGTGTGGACGGTTATTCAACTGCAGAACGGTCGCGTTGTAACCAGATCAGTTCCGCACCCCCCTATCCCGAAGCCAGGCTATGGCACCAGATACATTGGGGACGCTGACCACGGCGGAAGTGTTGGTTGGTCACGCGCCCCCACGGGGCAGCTGCTCTGTAGCCAGGTGCCGTGCGGTCGGAGCAGCTGTGGGGGCAGCTACCTGTGCGGGCGGCCCTGCCGCGTCTTCTGTTTTAGTGAAACAGGGCCCTCTCCCGGTCTGCTTGGCCCCAGGTCCCGTCAGAAGTGCGGACTGACGGAGGTTTTCCTTGTACTTACTCCTTGTACTTTTTCCTGTTGTTCCTTGGCGTTTTTGATGTGATGTGAACGTTACTTCTAGATCTGCATGGAGCTGGGCATCACTTTTATCCAGGCTGCGTATTCCAGCACATCCAGGTCGGGCTGCACTTTGTGCCGGAGTGGCTGCCTGCGGTGGGCCCCGCTGGTGGGTGTGCCCTGGGTCAGCACACAGCTGTGGCTGTGCCCCCTCCCCCGTAATGAGCGGGATGCTCTGGCCAGTTTGCTGGCCAGTTCTGCGGTGAAATGGGTGATCACAGGTGCGGACATCTAAGGGACCGTGACGTCCCCACGCATGGAAGTGCTGGGCACCCCAGACGTTGACTTTTGCATGGACTCCCTGGCGGAGTCCACTGTGACGGGGAGTGGGCGAGGGAGGCCGATCACCAGGGACCAGGGTTCTGCTTGCAGCCGCAGGGCGTGTCCTGCGAGTGCACGCAGGCATGCACCGATCCAGGAGAGGGTGCGGACGCAGCTCTCTGGAGAGGGGAGGCAGAGAGCGAGAGTGGGTGGAGGAAGGTGTGAAGGAGCCTCTGAAGGACCAGCATGTCTGACCCGACACGGTTCTTCCCCCCGACCCTCCTCCTCTGTGCAGGGGCAGGGCGCGGGGTGCTGGGAGCCTTCTCCCTCACCCCCACCTCCAGGCCCAGCCCGTGCTCAGGGGGCCTTGCGTTTCTTCCGCCTCTTCTTCCCTGGGAGTCGCTGGATGAGTCACTGGACTGCTCGCGGGGGCTCTGAGCTCGGTGCGGCACCGGGGCACCACCAGGGCCCACGTCTCTGCCCTCTGCTCCTCTCACTCCTTCACCTGGTGGCGGCGGCATGTGCCGGGGCGCAGGTGTGGTGAGGGACGGACCGCCCCGCCCCCCCGCCGTGCCCAGGAGTTCAAAGTCCCTGTGGTTTGGTTCTCTTTTTCCTTCTCCCCCCTCTTCCACGTGACTCCTGTTCGCTTCGCTTACACATTTACACATTTACCAGTTAGACCCGACAGGTCGGATTGGCCATGTTATCCTCACACTCACGAATATTTGTGCTTATTTTGTAGAGTTGTTCTATAATGGACGTAACTCTTTTGGATGAATATGGGAAACCCTTTTGGTGTTTCAGTTCCCCGGTGTGCATGCGAGCGTGCCCCGGCCCCTGTGACAGCGCCCGCGTCGCGGGGCAGACGTCCTGCATCGACTACGAGGACGCGGCGGGAGCGGTGCACATGGAGCTGGTGCGGATCCGGGAGACGGGGGAGTTCTTCGTCGTCAGCCTGGAGCTCCGCCTCAGCCTGGCCAGGATAAACCGCTGGTTCGGGACGCGGTACTGACCGCTGGCCGTGGGTGGTTGAACGGATATGTGTTTTATTTTGAATCAACCAGATCTGCTCTTGGTGTTGGAAGTTAAAATAAAACAGTGGTTTGCTCAGTGCCTCCTTATTTCACATTAAAAGTTATGATTGTTGGGTCATTGTGAAGTTGACGTTTCGAGGATTAAGCTAAAATTTAAAAACAATAAAATAGCACATCCTGATGAAAGGTCATAGTAAAGAGAAAAGATATTGACTTCTCTTCTGCCACCAGAGTTTAAAAGCAAGAGACGCTGCTTCGGCACGGGAACCACGTGCACGCGCGTTTGGTGGATAGGGTTTCTCCTCGTTGGCGGGGCCCGCGCGAGGGGAGCTGCGTGGCGGTTGATCACAGGGAGACAGGCCGCACTCGTGGTATCGGCAGCCACGTTCCGTGCGTGCTCGATCAAACCCGGTGAAACAGCCCACTCCCGAGGAGAGACGCGTCTGAGGTCGTCAGAGGGAACGGCCTCGCCAACGACGAAAACTGGAACCGGCCGCGTCCGTTCTGGGTGTCCCTCAGAGGAACGGAAAAGTCAGGGCCTCGAAGAGATGGCTGCACCCCTGTGCTCACCGCAGCGCCGTTCAACAGCCCCGAGGTGGAAACGGCCTCACACCCACCGAGGGATGAGTGGACCACGAGAATGGGGTGTGCACGTGTGATGAAATAGCATCGGCCTCAGAAAAGGAAGTCCTGCTGTGTGTGCCAGCACGGCCGAGTCTTCAGGGCAGGCCGAGTGGAAGGGGCCAGTCCCAGAGGGACGCGCACGGCAGGACCCCACCTGGTGAGGGGCCTCAGATAGTCGAGCCCGGAGACACAGAGCCAAGTGGTGGCTGCCGGGGCCGGGGGGAGGGCGGTGGGAGGCCATGCCCAGGGCTGTGGAGTCCCAGGAAGGAGGGGAGGCAGCCGCAGAGACCCGCTGGGCCGCACGGCGCCTGTCGTTAATAAAACACTGTGCTGCGCACTCAGAAACGGGGGATGGTAGGTCTCGGGTCGGGTCAAATGCTTTCCCCACGGTTACAATGAGAAGGCAGCCTGGGCAACATCTCCAGGTGCCGGCCCCTCGGGTGGGCACGCGGCTCGGGCTCAGGGCGCCCCCTTGTGGCAGGCACACCCTCCCTCTTCGGGGAGCTCCTGCTCAGGGGCTCCTCTCCCGGCTGGGCCAAGACCTGCTCCTATGGTAAGTGCCTCTCTCTCCGAAAACTGTAAACGATCACTTTGAGTTCCCCTCGCTGGAAATGCACTGAGTCTGTTCTACCTGCCCCGCCTCCGTTGTTCTTAAAGGGCAAACTGAAGCAGGTCTCAAAACATCACCCGAAGAATCTGTGTTTCATCTACCTAGAAGGTTCCATCCGTCACGGACGCGAACGCAGAGAAAAACAAAAGAGAAGTCTTATGTAACGTATGGACTTACACAATGCACATGAATAGAGCCGGATTGTGGGACTCTGCTATTTCAGCTGCAGTGATTTGGCTGTGTCCGTTACCAGGAAAATTTACACTTTGTGGAAATAGCCCAAAACAAAAGGGGTGGTGGCTGAAACTTCACATGAGAACATGAGACTTGCAGGAAGTAACGGTTGCCTAGGGAAATGCTTGTGGCAAAAATGTTAATTTGTAAAATTCAGTGAAGACCAAAAAAAAAAAAAATCAATGAACACATTTGTGTTGTGAAATTTACATGGGAAGGGATGGGTTCTGATGAACATGAAAAGTGGCAGGCAGTTTGCTTCTGCAGTCTAGAAAACTGACCGAAGGATTGTGGATTTAATGGCATTGAGTTGCCGTAATTCCAGGGAAAATGTTATCGATAAATAGTCTAAACATCCTCGGGGTCAAACTGGTGGGTTCAAACATTCTGTATTGACTAAATGTCAGGCACTTGCTATCTGCAGCGTGCCTTTAAGCTAGGCAAAACTTCCGTTGATATCGGGGACTAGAGGGAAAAGCGGACAGATAAATGCAGTTGGACTTGTAAAATCACGGGATTATGATGTGACTGCATTTTATTTGCACTTCTATGAATGGACCTATCATGCACTGGAGCCCTGAAAACCGTGAAGTTCAGTTTGCAGTCGCGTCGACTCTCCTGCTAACCTCTGGAGTAACTAGACTGTGGAGCCTGCAGTGAAAGCAATCCCATCTCTTAGTGACCTTCAACCCCCGCCCCGCAGGCGTCCTCCATGGCCCCCGGTTCCTGTGCTGACCTCTTGCGCTGACGGGGGCACCAGAAAGTGCGGTTGCCATGGTATTAGATACTCAGTGGTGTCTGCCTACAGATTCATCAGCGTTGTCCTTTGGCCAGAACAGGACCCTTTCTTCTTGTAATAAGATGCTATTGACCCCTGTGCCACAGCTAACTGGCTAATTTTTCCTATTCATTCTGCCGACGTGGAGAGATTGGTCAGTCATACAAGAGAAACTGGTTTCTGCCCTGGCTGGTGTAGCTCAGTGGATTGAGCGTGGGCTGCGAACCAAAGTGTCACAGGTTCAATTCCCAGCCAGGGCACATGCCTGGGTTGCAGTCCACGGCCCCCAGCAACTGCACATTGATGTTTCTCTTTCTCTCTCTCTCTCTCTCTCTATCTCCCTCCCTTCCCTCTCTAAAAATAAATAAATAAAATCTTAAAAAAATGTTAAAAAAAAAGAAACTGCTCTCTGAAGCCACCCTCCAAAACGGCTCTGCTGATGGTTCTGCTTCCCACGGCCCCACGATGCCCGTTGTGAACTGTGGGCTCTTTTCTCTCTCACAAGGAGACGGCTGTTGCACCTTTACAACGATTTTTACAGGACATCCGCAAAGCTCTCTGAAAGAAAAAGTCCCCCGACAGCAAAACTTGGTTTCACGGAGGGGCGTCAGTGGAAAACCTTCCACACTGACTCTAGGAAAGAGTTAAATGATTCATTCTGGAGGCAGAGAGAGTATGTAATCTCAGGGATTTATGCCACCATTCACATTTATTCCTCAAGGGCATTATTAAATTAGGCGGTGTAACCATGCATTTTAATCTCTGTGATTTACGATGAGAACCTGATAGCAACAGAGAGCCTGGCTTCTGTGTGTGGAGCGCCCCTTCCCAGTCTGCAGATGGCTGGGCTGTGTGAGAAAATTCTTTCCCTAGTTTTCCGTATTGAGGCTTGAAACTCGGTCCTGTGTCAGGAGTTGAATGGAGCTGCTGGTGTAGAATACTGAGGGCTGGCTTCATCTCTCTAAGATGTGCTGGACTCCGTGAAAGTGGCGAGATTACCAAGTAGCAGATGAACTTCAACTCCTCGTCTCAACTTCAGCGGCAGCTCCGGCGTTTAGATGTGGACTTTCTCCTTGAGCTGTGGCTAATTCTTGACCGTGAAGTTGCAAGTTCTCGTTCCTGCTTCACGGCGCTCATTCTAAATCATGGATAGGAAACCCATCCCCTCCGTGAACGAACCCAAGAACGAAATTCGGCAAATACTCACTGTGCGCCCACTCAGCGCAAGGCACTGCCGCGGTGCCGTGTACCCAGAGGCGAGCAGATGCCCCCACTGACCGACACAGCAGCTCCGGAAGCTCGCCCCGGGCCGGCGCTCTGTGTCCTGGGGGCGGGGAGGTGGTGTCGGGCTGGTCAACAGGACGCTGTGGGCCTTGAAATATGGCTTGATTTTTGTTCTGCGAAATTGAGGCTGTCCAGCAGGGAGAAAAAGGGGGGAAAGAAAATGGAAGAACCTGGGATAAGACAGCGGATGAAACAGAGGACTCCTGCGTTCAAGTAAATGAAACAGTTTTCCTGATGCAGCCTGTTCCCACACTCTCTCAGAATATTCGGGTTTGGTGGAAACAGCTTAATCTACTCACTTTCCATTGCGGGGAGCGGCCTTTCTAAGCATGCACACAAAAATGTCATCCCGGCAGCCGGACGATGCCAACAGCCCGTGGCCATGGAAACAAGGAGACACCTCGTTTTCAGACCGCGAGACCGAGGAGCGGAGGGAGGCAGCGCGACCCCCACCTCCGCATGTGGCGGCGCCCTGTGTACGAGCCTGGTCGCTGAGAGGTCGGCTTGCTCATCCCCACAGCGGGGGGTGCTTTGGCCCACGGTGGGGGGGGCCCTCGCATTCTGAGAGAACCCCTAGGCGCCATACTTGTTTCCACTGGAAATTGAAACAGACTTCTTAGATTATTATGGATCGTAACAGTGATACAAGCTTTTTGGAAGACACTTTAAGAGCACAAAACAAAGCACACAGAGGAAGACAACAATCACCCTCAAACACGGACTCGTGTGTTTTGGAAAATGAAATGAAAACCTTCTAAGAAAAATGTAACAAAAACTGGCTCAGTGAGAAATGGAACACGTGAACATTTATTTTCCTATACAAATTAATACTAAAAATATAATCAAATGCGCATATGTTTAAAAAACCCACCAAGTACACAGAATTGAAAGCTGATATTTGACTTTATATTCAAAGACTAATAATGTTAATATTTAACCAACTGTTCTAGAGCATATGGAGAAGAGAATGATCTCTGTTTTAAAACAATTTACAAATCTTTTGAAGGCTGTAACTGTTAATATGTGTAGAAAAGTTGCACGAGGGAAAAATGTACGAGGGACGAGTCACTGGACCTCAAAACCCTGCGTCAGGTGCCCCTTCCCAGTGTCCCAGCGTCCCCGAGGCCCCTGGTCCTTGGTGATGAGCACGCCCACTGCTTCCCCCAGAGGGGACCCCTCCCGATTTTCAGGTGTTCGCATCCTTATTTTCCTTCATGTTGTAACAATCTAAGTGTGCATTCCTCAATGCTGAACTTCGTTCGTCTGTGAGCTTTGTGTCGGCGTCCTGGATGGAGGTCCAAGGCAGTGCAGCAAGACGGGAAAAGAAGGGGAAAACGAATAAGGATTAAAAAGGAGCAACCAAACTATTTTTTGCAAATGATTTGATCTTTTATATCAAGACCCCAAACTAACCCATTGGAAAATTATGAAAATTCCAGACTTTAAGAAGGCTTCTGGATAAAATCTGTGTAAAAATCAATTTAATTCCCTTAAAAAATCAACAATCAGAAAGTTTCGTCAGGCAACGCGTTATTGGTAACTG